ACTGCGCCGGGCGCTGGAGCCCCGGCCCTGGAGCGCGCTGCCTGCCCCGCATCTGGGCAGCGCGACCCTCTCGGTTTACCGTCCCCGCCTGGGGGAGCGACCTTGGCCGCACCAAAAAGGTTACGAAATTGGCCAGATTGGGGGAGGGGGGAGAGCGGGGGAGCAATTATGATAGACTCCTAGAATCCTTTCCTCCAGCTAAATAAATATGTAAATTTCCTACCGCCCGGGCAGGGGGCATCCCTAGCTGCGCCGAGAGACTCGGATGGATTCGGCTCCTTCTAGATCGCCCCCAATCTGCCCTAGTCCGCGGAAGAGGCGTGGGAGAGTCCCATTAGGATCGCTCCTGCTATTTTGTTACATTATTTAATAGGCTGTCTCTGCAGAGCCAAACGCAGCCTTCCTATGCTTTGCTCTCTCCCGCGTGCTCTCTTAGCCGCTACTCCACCCCCACCCCCAAAACTGTCGGAACTGCAGGAAACGTTAAAAAAAAATTTTTTTTTTTTTAGGCAGAGAGAGAGAAGAAAATTTGATTGAGATAGTGGTGGATTTTCTCCAACAAGTTTCCCTGCAGCTGTTATCAAAACATGCAAATGAGATTTTCCAACAGGATCTTAAATCTGGAGGAGCTAACGCCGAGGCAAAATAATCTGCCTGTTTGAAGTGACTGCGGGTTTCAGTTTGCCGGTTCTCCCTGTGATACTATTGCAGGGGAATGATAATTAGACCTTTACTTGAAAAATCCAAAGGGGCTCTCTGCTTTCTCTTCGCTCACTCCCTCCCTCCCTCTCTCCCTCCCTCACCCTCTCTCTCTCTCTCTCTCTCTCTCTCTCTCTCTCTCTCTCTCTCGCTCAGATGTTGGCAAAGGGGTTTTTCTTAATCAGACTGCTTTTGGGTCCGAGGGAAAGGAGGAAGGAGATTGTGATGGAGAAAGGGGGTCTGTAAATCGTCAGGCACCGCACAAAGGCTTTGCCACGTAATTACAGGCTCCTATTAAGTCGAGATCTGCCCTCCCAGGGGTCTCCAATTTTCTTGTATTCCGCACAAAGCGTCCTCTGCATGCCAGTTTGTGCCTTTTGAAGTGCCAGAGAGCTTCTTGATCCAACTGAGAAGGAAAAGGCGCTGGGCGGCAAGAAGAGGGGGAGCGAGAAGGGAAAGGGGGGAAACCCACCGCCACCACCCTCCTTCGGACTCTCGAAGCCCTACTTTTTTTTTTGTTCCCCTCCTAACGAAAAGTAAAGTGAGAATCCTGCTCTCCAGTACATCTGCAAGACATCACCCTCTCCTCCTGAAACTTTAGTCACTCCTGAGAATCCACAGGAGTGCCGAGAGGGGGAACACGTTTTCTTGAAGATGTTTTAAAGCTGGAACAAGCCTTCTTCTGTTGGTGCTTGAACTCTTGCCTGGGAATAACTTTTTTAACCTTAAAAAAACCCACTTTGATTCTTGTCTCCCACCCCTTCTCTCTCCCGTGTTTGCCTGGCTCCCCCGCCCTGCTGGCCTCCCCTCGCCTCTCTCCCCCTGACTATTATTTTTAGTGTGTGCGTGTGGACGCTTCTGGAGAGGGAGGTGGAAGGAATTTTTTTTTTTTTTCCTCCTGACTTGAACGTAGGGTGACTTTTTGACTTTATTTTTTGGTGTGGATTATCTCTTTGGATCGCGCCGGACTTGGCCTCAGGAAAGCAACCGAGGCTGTCAGAGGCTGCGGCGGGAGGACGCTGAGCTCCGCACAAGGGGGTCCCCCCGCCCTCTTTCCACGTTTTTTTGCCTTTCTCTCTCCCTCTCTCCTCTCTCCCCACTCCCCCCGCTCTCTTCCCCACTCGGCTCCTCTCCCCCCTCGCGCCCACAGCGTTTGGTGTTGATTCGAGCGGGAAGAGGGGGGTGGGTGGGATCGGAGGGGGAGACCATGACCTCCAGCTACGGGCACGTTCTGGAGCGGCAGCCGGCGCTGGGCGGCCGCTTGGACAGCCCCGGCAACCTCGACACCCTGCAGGCGAAAAAGAACTTCTCGGTCAGTCACCTGCTAGACCTGGAGGAAGCCGGGGACATGGTGGCGGCGCAGGCGGACGAGAGCGTGGGCGAGGCGGGCCGGAGCCTGCTGGAGTCGCCGGGACTCACCAGCGGCAGCGACACCCCGCAGCAGGACAGTGAGTGAGGGGCGCAGCCCCCCCCC